CCCCCTATCCCTCTTATTGGGGAATTAGCCAGTAGGGGTAGACACTGCGCCCCCCCTGGTTGAACATCAATGAGCGTCAAACCTCTGATTCCATGGTTTCGTAGATTAGCACCCTAATCTACGATAATTCCTATTTAACATTTGTCATTCCCTCATCCATAACAATGGTTTTTGTTAGGTGACAACTAATTATATTCATTTAAGCTTTAATACGGACTACTGTTTGGTAAAGTGTAGTAGTCTATAGTAGCCCATAAAATACAACTGGTGGAGAGATCGGCATAATCTGTATTTTCCGCACACATGCAATAAGTTATTAGCAATTAAACAAGTGCAAATATATCATTTGCTTTCTTAAGCTACAGACAGTAAGTTATAGTCGACTAATCAAAGATGGCCTTAGAGGTGATAAGTGTTTCAAATTGATTTTAACAAGGCTTGGGTGATCCTAACCGGGTTACTGAATTGTAGCAACGTTCATGTAGTTAACTTCCTGAAATAACTCCGTTTCGATAAGTGAAATTATAAAAATGGCATTTGACAGGTTTGCTGTTGAAATAGGCATGAATGTAACCACTTGTTCGCAACTAAAATACCAAGACGTTTAAAGCGAATTTCTCCACTTTTCTGATATTTCAAATTGTCTATAACTTTAGTTTGTTTGAGACCAATAATTTTGGTCGATTTTTACATCTCTGTTAGCGCAAATGATAAGCCTTTAATAATATCAATTTCAGTAATCAAGTGGTCATCGATTTTGCCAAAATTATAGTGAAAGAACGATCGAGATTACAGATGACGTGATTTTCGAAAGCATTGCCTGTATGGCATAGGCGAAGTGCTTACGTGCAACCCAACTGGTCATCGACCGCTGCCAATTGTGTTCATACATCCACATTGATTCACAACACCAAACAGCGAGATACGTGCGCACTGTAGGTGCACAGCGCACCAATAGCATAACGCGGACGCTGTAAGTCTGTTGCCCAGGTGGGCTGATTGCCATGGCCCGCTTGTTCGGAGGTATAAAACCCTGCTCCCAGTAATTTCGGGTAACACACGCGGCTGGTTTTAGCCCCGGATACTACTCTTGCGCGAACTTCGAACTTTGCTCTCTCTCTCACACTCTCTTTCTCTCAACTGTCTCGATCAATCAACTTTCTAATAACAAGTTCCTACTTCATTGCAGTGTGCGTTGAACACTCTCACCTTCTTTTGGATTTATTTCCCTCTCAAAATCTTTACCCAAATCTCGATCTTTCTTTTAGGATTCTGAAGCTCTCTATCTATTCTGATCAATTTTTTCAGTGAAAATCAAGATCAATAATGGACCCATCTGATCCCGATTTCGAATTCCTCGGTGTCGACCGAAAAGCCCTTCTCAAAGAAGCTGAACAAGGTTCCTTCGACTCCAAGTCTGTAGCTTGGGTTGAAGATGAGAAGGAGGGTTATGTCATGGCTGATATTGTGGAGACTAGCGGTGATAGCGTCACTGTCAAACTCAAGGATGGAAATGTAAGTTCAATCTCACCTTGATGGCTATTTCAAACTGACAAGATCTTCATGAAGGATGTTTTGTTTCTGCTCGTATAGACCAAACAAATCAAGAAGGATGACCTTCAGCAGGTCAACCCTCCCAAATTCACCATGGCTGAGGATATGGCTGATTTGACTTACCTTAATGATGCCTCTGTCTTGGAAAATTTGAGAGCCCGCTATTACCACAAGCTTATCTACGTGAGTTATAACTTGCTTTTATGATAAAAATTATAATTCCAAAGGGCAAAATTCGTTAAAATTCCGTTTTTATTATCTCTAGACCTATTCGGGCCTCTTCTGTGTAGCTGTCAACCCTTACAAGAGGTACCCAATTTACACCTATGAGGTCGCCATGAAGTACAAGGGCAAGAGGCGTGCAGAAATGCCACCTCACTTGTTCTCCATCTCTGACAATGCCTACCATAGCATGTTGGCTGATCGTGAAAATCAATCCATCTTGATTACGTAGGTTTAAAGCATGAAAATAATTATTACTTTCGCTTTGATCCACATTTATATGACATTTTCCTCCCTAACGCTATAGTGGTGAATCTGGTGCTGGTAAGACTGAGAATACGAAGAAGGTTATTTCCTACTTCGCTTTCGTCACCGCTAACCCCAGCAAGAAAGGTGAGGAAGTTGAGAAGAAAGGTAGCTTGGAGGACCAGATTGTCCAAGCTAACCCTCTCTTGGAAGCCTATGGTAACGCCAAGACCAACCGAAATAACAATAGTTCCCGATTCGTAAGTTTTTTTTCTGAAATCTCAATACCATCTTCCTAGGGTAAATTCATTCGTATTCATTTCGGTACCACGGGAAAAATTGCTGGAGCTGATATCGAGTTCTGTAAGTTTAAATATAATTCGCACTAACCTATGTAACCCTCAATTCTCATAGATCTGTTGGAGAAATCTCGTGTCACTTCTCAAATGAAGGGAGAGCGTAACTTTCACATTTTCTACCAACTGCTCTCCGACTTCGGTAAAAAATACCACGGTAAATGAAACTGGAATGAGACCTTTAAAGGCACTTAATTCAATACGTCTGATTTATGTAACATTTCCCTTCTTTTCAGACAAGCTTCTCGTGGCTGCTGACCCTGCACTCTACTCATTCATTAACCAGGGTGAATTGACTATTGAGGGCGTTGATGATTCTGAAGAAATGAAGCTCACCGATGAAGCTATTGACATCTTGGGCTTCACCAACGAGGAGAGAATGTCTCTTTACAAGTGCACCACCTCTGTTATCAACATGGGTGAGATGAAATTCAAGCAGCGACCACGTGAAGAACAGGCTGAAGCTGATGGTACTGCTGAGGCTGAAAAGGTTGCCTTCTTATTGGGTGTCAACGCCAAGGATTTGCTCAACTCCTTCCTTAAACCGAAAGTCAAGGTCGGTAATGAGTTCGTTACTAAGGGTCAGAACTTGGATCAAGTCAACTTTGCCGTCAACGCCTTGGCTAAGTCCCTTTACTCACGTCTTTTCACTTGGCTCGTCTATCGTGTGAACAAGACTCTTGACACCAAAGTCAAGCGCCAATACTTCATTGGTGTCCTGGATATCGCCGGTTTCGAAATCTTCGATGTAAGCTCAATACTTTCAATCTTGCCTGGAGCACTCTGAAGTGTGTTCACCCTAAATATTTTTTATTTGACTTTATAGGAGAACGGCTTCGAACAAATTTGCATCAACTACACAAACGAACGTCTTCAACAATTCTTCAACCACCACATGTTCGTCCAAGAACAAGAAGAATATAAGAAGGAGAATATTCAGTGGACATTCATTGATTTCGGTATGGACTTGCAAGCCTGTATCGATCTCATTGAAAAGGCAAGCACTTTTCTTGATATTTTTCTAAGATGATTAGAAATAACCCTTAAATTTTTCTGTCATGTCCTTATAGCCAATGGGTATCATGTCCATTCTTGAAGAAGAATGTATGTTCCCGAAGGCCACTGACCAAACTTTCAAGCAAAAACTGTACGACAACCATCTTGGAAAGAGCCCCAACTTCGCAAAGCCCAAGCCACCAAAGGCTGGTCAGAAAGAAGCTCACTTCGAGCTTCACCATTATGCCGGTTCTGTAAGTTTCCTTTCACTGGCCATGATTTTGCTCTATGAGAATTGTATTTACTGCTCTTCATTCACAAATAGGTACCTTACAACATTACCGGTTGGTTGGATAAAAACAAGGATCCATTGAACGACACCGTCGTTACCCTTCTTCAGGAATCCAAAGAGTCTTTGGTTGCTCAAATGTTTGCTCCTCCAGAAGGTAATAATCTTACTTTCAAAGTTTTAAACAACTACTATCAAGGCATAATTGAAATAAACATCTACTTATTTAAAATTAAGTAGCGCTTAAAATTGTTCGAATTCATTTACATTTCATTGCTACCGCCATCTAGATGGAACAAAGAAAAAGAAGTCAAGCTCTTTCATGACTGTTACTTACACCCATCGGGTAAACAATAATTCTCAATATTGCCCACGAATGTGGCTGCTCGATTTAATTCTTCCGCACGTTTATAATTCTTGGAAAATGCGTCAATGCTTCGAAAACCTTACAATGCACTTACACATTTTGAATATGTGATTAGTGGGAAGGGGGTCGGGGTTCATAAACTTGACCAAATTTTTTCTAATTCTCGTTTGTTTACGCATTTTTATAGCCTTTTAACCATGCATTGCTTCTCATAACAGATACAACTGGCACTAAACGAAGAAAAGGCGGTTCTCTGCAGACCATTTCTGGAACACACAGAGTAAAAATGAGACTAAGCCCTTAATGTTGTTGTGTTCAGATTAGATCAGATTAAATGTTGTCATTATAAATACTGGGATCACCTCAACTCAGTTATACGCTGCTTCTGTTTGTTTCATGTTTTTCGTTCATTATTGGCCGTTGTAGTCAGATAAAATTAGTTTAGATGAAAAATTGGTGTCTAAATGTGTAGCCCTCTCAGATGTACTATGCTCGTTAGTTCACTTGCACGCAAATTCGCATGAAAATTATATTTTGCATGAATGCCTGGCCATTTGGAAGGGTTATCATGCATTCCAGGTAATCTATTTGCCCTTTATCATTACTTATGATTCTCGGTACCTTTGTAGGAGTCTTTGAACAAACTCATGAAGAACTTAATGAGCACAAGCCCAAGCTTCATTCGTTGCATTGTGCCCAACGAATTCAAACAACCTGGTACGTGTTTATAGCCAGGTTACTTATTTTCATTTAAGTAGATGTTATTGCCTTATTTGAAATTTTTCTCTTCCGTCAGGTGTCATTGATGCTCACCTGGTTCTCCATCAGCTCCACTGTAACGGTGTTCTTGAAGGCATCCGTATTTGTCGCAAGGGCTTCCCGAACAGAATGGTCTACTCTGAATTCAAGCAGCGCTACTCCATTCTCGCTCCTAATGTTATTCCTGCTGGTTTTGTTGATGGCAAACAGGTCACGGAGAAAATTCTCGATGCTTGCCAGCTATCAAAGGATAGCTATCAGTGCGGTAACACCAAGGTCTTCTTCAAAGCTGGTACTCTGGCCGAGTTAGAAGATATGCGTGATGAGAAATTGAGCAAGATTATCTCCAACTTCCAAGCCCAAATTCGTGGCTATCTTATGCGTAAGGAATACAAAAAACTGCAAGATCAACGGTTCGTATTCATGATCATCTCTGTTAAAATAACTCAGGTAGAAGTGAGTTTTGATTTTTGGCTTTGGGCGTTGTAGAACAGCTCTTGCTCTCATCCAGCGCAACATTCGTAAGTACCTGATGTTGCGTACTTGGCCATGGTGGAGACTTTACACCAAGGTCAAGCCTATGCTCAACATTGCCCGTCAAGAGGAGGAGATGAAGAAAGCTGCTGAAGAGTTGGCAAAGATGAAGGAAGAGTTCGAAAAGCTCGAGAAACTCAAGAAGGAATTAGAGGAACAGAATGTGACTCTCCTTCAACAGAAGAATGACATCTTCCTTCAACTCCAAACCGAGCAGGACAACTTGGCTGACTCAGAAGAGAAGGTTTCAAAGTTGATCCTCCAGAAGGCTGACATGGAACAACAAATCAAGGAGTTCGAAGAGCGCTTGAATGATGAGGAGGATTCCAACAGGAACTTGGAAGAATCCAAGAGAAAGCTTGCAGCTGAGATTGATGAACTCAAGAAGGACGTTGAAGATCTGGAAAGCACTCTCCAAAAGGCTGAACAAGAAAAGCAGGCCAAGGATAATCAGATCAAGCAACTTCAGAGTGAGATGCAACAACAAGAGGACCAAATTGCCCGTGTCAATAAGGAGAAAAAAGCCCTCGAGGAGCAAAACAAACGTACCACTGAGGCCCTCCAAGCTGAGGAAGACAAAGTCAATCACCTCAACAAGCTTAAAGCCAAACTTGAATCAACTCTCGATGAGGTTAGCTTTCATCAATACTTTTAATAACAGCACTTCTTATAAATTATAAATAACATATAATTTTTAGATGGAAGAGAATTTGGCCCGTGAACAAAAGATCCGCGGAGATGTCGAGAAATCCAAGAGGAAGCTTGAAGGTGATCTGAAAGCCACTCAGGAGACTGTTGATGACCTTGAGCGTGTTAAACGCGACCTTGAGGAACAACTCCGCCGCAAGGATGCTGAAATTGCCAATATGGGAGGCAAGTCCGAGGAAGACCAGGGCTTGATCAATCAACTCCAACGCAAGATCAAGGAACTTCAGGCTCGCATTGCTGAGCTTGAAGAAGACCTCGAAGCTGAGCGGGCTGCTCGCAGCAAGGCTGAGAAGGCCCGTCAACAGGTGTGTTGCACATTTATGAAGTTCTCTTCTCGCACGCGGGCTTGAAGATTAGTTCAAGTTGCATTTCTATTAAAGTTTCATAACCCATATACATCTTCCCTTTTAGCTCGAGGCAGAGCTTGATGAAGTTTCTGACCGCCTTGAAGAACAAGGTGGCGCCACCGCTGCTCAAGTGGATCTCAACAGAAAACGTGAAGCTGAGATGGTTAAGCTGAAGCGTGATCTTGAAGAGGCTCGCATTCAGAATGAGCAACAAGTCCAGTCCCTCCGAAAGAAGCAAGCCGACGCTATCAACGAAGTAACTGACCAACTCGACCAGGCCAACAAGCTTAAGGCTAAGTAAGTACTCTTATATGGAGAACGCATGTTCTCTCTATTTAGTATCTGTTGGTGACAATGGCAGAAAATGAGTGGGTACTTGCTCACTGTGTCAAAAGTGTTGTGACAAACAGTCAGTGTTTTTACACCTAACTGGAATGCTGAAAGCATTAAGATATTAATCATAATGCCTGATATGGATGGAAAACCAACCTTCCATACAACCTAATTATCGGCATCGACCCACTCAGAAAAAGGCTGTTTTGAAAATAAAAATATTTTTGCATTCTTCTAAGGGAAAACGCTGTCAATATAAAAGAACAGCTTAATACATGCAGATAGAGAAAACGGGTAATAACTAGTGTATGTTAAACAATGATTGTTTACAAGGTTCGGATTTACGCCTTACTAGATTAACTTCAGTGTGGCGTAATAGGTGAATGACTAAGTTCAAAATTGTAGTAAATGATACCTAACTATGTCTAGGGTTGAGAAGGAGAAAGCAGACCTCAAAGCCGAGTGCGATGATCTCCAAGGTCAGGTTGCAAATCTCGCCAAGCAGAAGATGAATGCTGAGAAGAATTGGAAGACTTGCGAGTCTCAAATTGCTGAACTGCAGGCTCGTCTTGATGAAGCCTCCCGCCAGAGCAGTGATATTGGCTCCCAAAAAGCACGTCTCTCACAAGACGTTACTGAGCTCCAACGCCAATTGGAAGAAGCCGAATCCCAAGTTGGTCAACTCACTAAAGCCAAGCAACAACTTGCATCTCAACTTGAGGAAGCGCGCAGAAACCTTGATGAAGAGACACGTGCCAAGTCCAAGTTGACCTCTGAGGTTCGAAACCTAAGCTCAGATCTCGATGCTCTCCGTGAATCCCTTGAAGAAGAACAATCCGCCAAGTCTGACATGCAACGCCAGATTCAGAAACTCCAGAATGAGATTGCTGCTGGTGTTGGCAAGGGACAAGGCGATATCAAGAACGAGGAATTCGAGGAGATGAAGCGCCGACTCACTGCTAAGTTGCAGGAAGCTGAAAGCGAAGCCGATTCTGCCAAGCAGAAGTGTAGTCAATTGGAGAAAGTCAAAGCTAGACTACAGGGTGAGATTGAGGACTTGATGGTTGATGTTGAACGTGCCAATGGCCTCGCCAGCCAACTTGAGAAGAAGCAGAAGAACTTCGATAAGACCCTTGGTGAGTGGCAACAGAAGTATGCTGACTCTCAAGCCGAGTTGGAGAATGCTCAACGAGAAGGACGTGGCTACTCTACCGATGTCTTCCGTTTGAAGGCTCAACTTGAAGAAGCTCATGACCAAATCGAGGCTGTTCGACGCGAGAACAAAAATCTGTCTGGTAAGATTTCACGGAAAACCTTGTTATCCTCAGCTTAGTTGCTGTTTCCTCAACATCTTATTACTTCTTTCAGATGAGATCCATGACTTGACCGAACAACTCGGAGAAGGTGGCCGTTCAGTCCATGAGGCTGACAAGGCCCGCAAACGCCTTGAGATGGAGAAGGAAGAACTCCAAGCTGCTCTAGAGGAAGCCGAATCCGCTTTGGAACAAGAGGAGGCCAAAGTGCAACGAGCCGCCCTTGAGCTTTCTCAAGTTCGTTCTGAAATTGACCGTCGTTTGGCTGAAAAAGAGGAGGAATTCGAAGCCACTCGCAAGAATCACCAACGTGCAATTGAAAGCATGCAGGCTTCTCTTGAGGCTGAGGTTAAGGGCAAGGCCGATGCTATGCGCATGAAGAAGAAACTCGAACAAGACATCAATGAACTCGAAGTCGCTCTCGACTCTGCCAACCGCGGTCGTGCCGAGATGGAAAAGAACTCCAAGAAATTCCAACAGCAAGTGAGAGAGATGGAGAGCCAATTGGAGGATGAACAACGCAATCGCGAAGAGCTGAGAGAGAACGCTGCCACCGCTGAAAGACGTGCTCAAATGTTAGCTGGAGAGTTGGAGGACATTCGTACACACTTGGAAGCCTCTGAACGAGCCCGCAAAGCTGCTGAATCCGAGAGAGCTGAAGCCGCTGATAGGGCTTCCGAACTCTCTGCTCAAGCGGCTTCCTTCGCTGCCATGAAGCGCAAGATGGAGGCTGATTTGGCTGCCATGCAGGTGAGTATACTTCAAATTGTTGGTGGAGCCCGGTATTAAAAATCATATTTTGACCCCATTGACCTTTTTTTCAGGCTGACCTTGAGGAGGCTGCCAATGAAGCTAAACAAGCCGACGAGCGTGCCAAGAAAGCCATGGCTGACAGCGCTCGTGTCTTCGAGGAAGTTCGTCAAGAACAGGAACACACCCAACATGTTGAGAAGGCTCGCAAGCAAGCTGAGCAGCAAGTCAAGGAACTCCAAGTTCGTCTTGAGGAAGCTGAGGCAAATGCCATGAAGGGAGGCAAGAAGGCTCTCAGCAAACTCGAACAACGTGTTCGTGAATTGGAGACTGAGTTGGATGCTGAACAACGCAGACATGGTGAGACCCAGAAGAACTATCGCAAGATTGATCGCAGATTGAAGGAGGTCTCTATGCAGGCACGTATCAGTTCATACACTCCTGCACCACCCTTGAGCTTTACGGTTGATTATAATTCGACTGTTTACTTTTAGGCTGAGGAGGACAAAAAGAACTACGACCGCATGCAAGAGTTGGTTGACCAACTTCAGGGCAAGATCAAGACCTACAAACGCCAGGTTGAAGAGGCTGAAGAAATCGCCGCTGTCAATCTCGCCAAATACCGCAAGATTCAGCACGAAGTCGAAGATGCTGAGGAGAGAGCCGATCAAGCAGAGCAGGCTCTCCAGAAACTCCGGGCTAAGAACCGCTCTTCTGTCTCCATGTCACGTGGTCCAAGTGCAGCCCCTGGTGCTGGTGGTGCTCGCACTGCTAACGCCCATACTTCTCGTGTCCGAGTTATGGCCTCCGTCACAAACAATGAAGAGGAGGTTGGTTATACCCAAATAATCCCCTCTACTTAACACATTTTTGTTAATAATGTATTTTATTGTTAATTTTAGTAAATGAACACCAGCAACGCACGTATACAAGTTCCATTTCTCATGCATGTGCACAAATATATGATCAATCACCACTACTACCCTGATTGTGTTCCATTGCTTTCGACCTGACTTCAGCAGCTTTCGCAATTACAATCGTATTAAACCAATCGACTAAAACAATATATGAAAACTTGGCTTATAGAAACACCCATCTTTTATCCGACACATATTTTCAGTTCTCCTTGTTTAGATCCCCGCTCACTGAATTTGAATTTGCTAATACGTTTCGTTACATCAGCCTAGTTCTTGTCATTTTCTCTCTGTTTTTACAACATTACTTCACTTCTAACCGCCGCGTGTACTACTGAATTGGTTTGATAGTAGTGCTTTCGTGAGAAATGTCAAAGCTTATGCTGATCGAGTGGAAGGAGGGTAGGAAGAGAGGTGCTGAGGAGATGCAACAAGGAGACTGATCCCTGACCTATTTAAACCTCCCCCCCCCCCTAATCACCTTCCATTTTCCACTTGTGTGTGATATGCGTGGGAACTATACGTGTGCGTTAAATGTGACGTTTTCCTCTTTTTCTTTCCATCTTACTTTCTCTCTATGTCTCTCTATTTCTGCCTTAATATATTAGTAAACGGTTATTATTAAACAACCATGCGTTTGCATAAATACGCCTTGCTCTACTCAAAGCAGTGAAGCTAAACCGTATATTGGATGGTTACCATTTTTCTTTCTATTTAAGGGGGGAGGGGGTGCAAATTGGAACCACCCTGTTGCATTAATGTAAGTTTTGCTAAGGGAGACAACGGCGAATAATGAATAGTGAAGTCAAGACGTCATGACCTACCTTCTCGAAGGACAATACACCAGGATTTGTATACCACCGGCAAAAGATTTATCTATTTATTTATATCAAATGGCAGGCATTTTGATTTCTAAGAGTATTTATTTATATCAAATGGCAGGCGGTTTGATGGTTATCATAAGCCCTGTAGTTGACTTCAGGCTTCACAGGGAAGGGAACATCAAAGTGAAAAAAAGTCGAGAGGGGGAGGGGGGTTCAAGAAGGAAGGAACATCAAAGGGAAAAAAGTCGAGAGAGGGGAGGGGAACAGAAGAGTGTTTCATAGATGTAAAAGAGAGACACAAAGGTAGAGTGAAAAAGATGAGGTGAGTACTGCGGAAGTAGTCGAATAAAGAGAAAAGGTAAGATGAGTACTGTTGAAGTGGTCGAATTTACGAATATGGCATAGAGTGGGATGATGGTAGTTTGAAGTCAAGTAGTCGAATTTGACATACAGTGGGGTGATTGTAGTTTGAAGTCATGTCAAATGCCGGTTAATAGACTTTTTTGCCGTATGAGAATGTAGGACATATAGGGGGGTCATGGTAGTTTGAAGTGAGAAGAAAACTGCCGGTTAATAGACTTTTTTGCCGTATGCGGAGAAGTCAACTACCAGTTAATAGACTTTGCCGTATGAATATACGTTGCCCAGGGTGCACCACGTGGAGGTAAGTCTATTGCCAGGGTGCACCACGTGGAGGTAAGTCTATCACACACCCCCACCGTCAAAAGATAGGGTTGTAAGTATCAAGAGATGGCGAATGAATGTTGTCAGTACCGAAGAAAGTGAGGAAAATCGGGGTAGACCGATCCATAGATCCTCATTTAAGGTTTGCTGTCGATGCTTGTCATTTGGCACATTTGAAGAATATTGACAGATAAAGCACTTATAAAGTGCAACGACAAAAGTGTCTATTTCAATAACAAAGCTTATTCTACCAACCTCCCCCCCCCCGCCTCCATCCATCTCCCCATCATTTCATTTGCTACGATTTCTGTACTTTGCTGCCACGATGAACAATCTGTCCAGACGGAATGCAATTACCGCAAGTACTTTATTAAACAAGCAAGACATAGCTCAAGTCCGAGTTGAGATAGAGATAATGGGAGATTTAAGGACAAATGGAGGAAATTAATTATCTTTGAGCAAAACAAAAATTCAGCGACTTCTCCACATTAGAGGATCACTTTGGAATAGTTCTAGTCACGTGCACAATTCAACCTGTTCATTTGAACGTAAACTTTTGAGAACAAGGGCTGCTCGCGTTATTTGATCAAAGCATTTAGTTACTATTACATTTATGCACTATCCGAGATCAGTTAAATAATTTTATGCTGCATATTATCCCAACCATTTAAACAACTAAGATGACACTAATCCTTTTTCACATGGTAATTTAGTTGGCTTACCTAATAAATGTTTCAAAATTATGAGATAAAATGTTTATTTATTATTTCCTCTCCCAAATTGAAGTTAAAATTGTAGCGGATTAGCTACCTCAATAACCTTGACGATTCTCAGAAATCTCTATAGCAGTTTCTTCCAACTCGAAAGTCCCCGGGAAATAGCACGGAATACGCTTATTCAGTAAGTATATTGATAGCGGATCAAGTGCACACGTAGGGGGCCTAATCATGAACAGGATGGGGGATTAGGTTA